CAACCTTAACTCTGACCCTACTCCTCATTTTACCCACTTAGCCTGAAGCACAGCATGTTTGTAGCGTGTGCAATGCTATCCTTGAAAGTCAGCCATTTCAAAGCTGCAATGGTTTATGCCAACAAATCTCCTCCCCGCCCCTCCAAGGCAGACGGTGGGTAGGATTATAGTGGGCAGAGTTAAGGTTAATCAACAACGACTTTTTAGTCTGTGTATTTGTTTTCTTGGTTACATGGATGTTGAACATTTACTAGGTTGCTGGTCAGTGTTTGGAATGTTCCCCTAGAGCTCAAATGGGGCGGAGGAGAAAACACAGGCCTAAGGCAATGTGACATAACCCTCGGGTCAGCGTGGTGTAGCGTCACCACGCTGTGCCTAACCCACAGAGAATGCGAGTTTGTCAGAGCATGCTTTCGGCTTCGGAAGCCCCTGGTGTGTCAGCCAAGAGGAGAGGGAATTTTTAGAAACCTGAAAGGCACTTAAGTCCAGTGGCAAAGGGGAATTTCAGCAACTTTTCTGCCTTTCCTCCTTGAGATGGGACACCCCTCACCAAGCAGGCCTGCACTGCTGTTGGAGATCTGCTGGGAGTGGGGAGGTGCTCAAGGTCCTGCTAGACTGAACTCCCTGGAGGAGTCCAGGATTGAGCAACCAGGCGGTGTCCTTGGTGGAGATGAGAAACGCCAGGTGGAGAGCTGCAGATTTCAGCCTTGGGCGGGGGGAGGAGGGAGGGAGGCTCTGCTTGGAGCAGAGGTGAAAGTAAGGGGGTGTGCCCCAGTGTACCGCTCCAGCAACAGCTGGCCCAGGGCATTCTCCTTAAAGAGCCAGGGAGGGCGAGCACATGAATCAGCCTTTGTCCAGTTGCAGCTGCCCCAGGGTCTGTATTTTGTCTCTTTTCTGTTTGGTTTTATGAGAAGCAATCCCATTTCAGCCACATCCCGGTACAACCAAACCCTTACGTTGCTTTAAGTTCATCCCGGTACAACCAAACCCTTAAGTTGCTTTAAGTTAAGAGAGAGTTGGGATTGGTCCTGCCTTGGGCAGGGGGCTGGACTTGATGACCTCCTGAGGTCTCTTCCAGCTCTATGATTCTATGACCTGTATACCAAATGTGGTGGTCCTAGCTTTTATCGTTTATGAGTTCTTGAAAAAACAGACTCATGGGTGGACAGACAGATGCACATTTCTAATATATATAGCAAGATTACTATATAAACAAATGGGGAAAGGGGGAAGTTGATAGCAATGACTATAAATCAGAAGGAAGGAACTGTAGAAAATTGATAAGGGAACCAAAAGATGCAAGGAGAAATCTATGGCTTGAGTGAAGGGCAATAAGGAATTTTTGAAGTATATCAAGAACAAAAGAAATCCTAATCATTGTACTGGTATCATCTGGTACACAGCACTAGATAAAAATGGTAGAGCTGTTAATAATGCAAAAAAGACAGACGTAGTCCGTAAATGTTTCTGTTTTGTATTTGGGAAAAAGACAAATAGTCTTATCACAGATAATGAAATACTTTCCATTCCAACAGTAAGTTGAGGGGGGGGGGGGTTAACATTTTAGAGGACTTTGTTGTATTGTTCGTGGTCATTTTCAACTCCTCTTGGAACTCTAGGGAAGTACCAGAGGAGGGGAAGAAAGCCTGTCAATATAGGCCTGTCAATCCGGCATCAGCTCTGAGCAAGACAATGGGTGGTTGATACTGGAGTCAATTCATAAAGAATGAAAGGAGGGTAATATAACAAGTACCAATCATGGGTTTATGGAAAACAGAGCTCATCAGACTAATTTCATATCTTTTTTTCTGATGTTTGCTAATAGAGGTAACAGTCTTAATGTAATATAGTTAGACTTCTCTACTGAATGCAATTTTAATTAAGAAACTAGAATGAACATGGCACATATTAAATGGATTAAAAGCTGACTCACAGCTAGCTCTTAAAGTGTAATTCTTAGCAGGGAATCAGCAATGAAGGGGGCTGTTTCCTGTAGGGTCCTGCAGATGGTGTTCCCTGTAAGCTGTGCGCTTGTGCGGGCACTCAGGAGAGATTCAAATGTAGCCCAGCTGATTAGAAGTGCTCCCCCAGCATGGTTTTTTGTTTCTTACTGGTGGTGCACATTTGCACATACTTCAGTGCACATACAATTTATTCCACACACGTGTGGAAAAATTCACCATTGGATGGAAAAGATTAGAGGGAACACTGCCTGCAGGGACCAGGTTTTGACTCTCTGCTAGTTAACGTCTTTCCCAGTGACCCGGAAGATAACATACAGCCATCCCTGATAATGCTTGCACAGGATAAAGTGATAAAGGGTGAGGTCAGGTCACTGATACGGCACAAGCTAGATCATCTGGTAAGCTGGACGCAAGCAACAACTGCCTTGTCTCCATCACACACCACTGGCTGCAGCATGTCGTGTACACGCAGCTGCACATCCCAGTGAAAAGCAGGATATGGTGGATCGGCGAAAGGCTCTGGCAGAGGGGAGGCAGCAGGAAAGGGCTGAGCTGGTGACACATTTTCCGTGGCAGGGAAAAGTCCCAGCTGTGGGGCACTACGTTGATAAAAACAGCAGTGGGGTGGGGAAGCATGGCTGAGGGTTAGAGTAGGTGATCTGGGCACCACCATTCAAGAAAGATATGGGGAAACTGGAGCGGATCCAGAGAAGAGCAATAAAAACGATGAAAGGCCTAGAGAACACGAGCTAGGAGGGAGGACTGAAAGAACTGGATAACCTTAAAAAACAACAAACAGTCTGGTAGCACTTTATAGACTAACAAAACATGTCGATAGCATCATGAGCTTTCGTGGGCACAGATGACCGGTCATATGAAGAAGTGGGCTGTGCCCACGGAAGCTCATGATGCTATCGACATGTTTTGTTAGTCTATAAAGTGCTACCAGACCGTTTGTTGTTTTTTAAGGTTATCTTGTTCCTCCTGAAGCTTCTGAAAGAACTGGGTTTGTTTAGTCTGGAAGAAAGACAACGGAGGGAGGACAGAATAGCAGTTCTCAAGTATCTAAAAGGGTGTTGCTAGGGGGAGGAAGAAAAATTATTCTCCTTGGCCTCTGTTAAAACAAGAAGCAATGGGCTTAAGTTGCAGCAAGGGAGGTTTAAGTTGGACATTAGGAAAAACTCCCTACCTGTCAGGGTGGTTAAACTCTGGAATATATTGCCTAGGGAGGATGTGGAATCTCCATCCTCGGAGATATGTAAGAGCGGGTCAGATAAAGAGCTCTCAGACGGTGCTGGGTCCTGCCATGAGGGCAGGGGCCTGGACTTGATGCCCTCTCGAGGTCCCTCCCGGTTCTAGCATTCTATGATTCCCCACACCCGTCAGGTGGTTCTTTACCCTTCTTGTCTAAGCCAGGCCTCTTCAGATATAGACCCTATGCTGGGGGAGGCATGGACACTATTCGTTGCCAAAAGATGAGTGTAATGTAGACATACCCTATAAGGCTTTCTGTGCAGCCACATATAAAGACGCACCCCTGTGACGTAGTGGGGGGTACCTTGCTGGTTGCTATGCTGGGCAGTGGACTGTGAGTGACCTCCACTGGCTGCTGTCTGCAGCACGGCCCAGCAGGGCCAGGGGTGAGTCATTATGCAAAGAGGGTCTCTCAACCTGTCCGACCAGCTACCCCCCAGGGAGAGGAACAAAGGAAGGTGGAATGCGGGCAGGGATGGAAGAGAGTTGGTTAGTTTCTGTCTGGGATCATGGAGGAGACAGCCTAGGGAAAGGGGCTGGAATTTAGGGGTCCAGTCTCCCCCATCTCAAGGGGGGCTGAGGCATTCTAGGCCCGGTTCCTGTAACCAGATGACATCTGTGCTGTGCTGTATCCCGGAGAAGCAATAAACTCCCTCTGTTCTACTGGCTGGTGGAGTCTGTCCGTGCCACTACGGGGGTGCAGGAGGCTGAGGACCACAACGCGCCGTCACAACCCCTAGGAACAAAGCAGGCAGGCTGCTCTTGCAGGACTCGGGCCTGAGCAGTAGCGGTTCTGAAATGCACCTGTGGGAGGAAGGAGGGGATCACCCTCCATTCTCCCAGGATGATGCCGTGGCTAACAGGGCTGATGAGATCCCGAGAGGCATACGGAAGGGACTTTTAAGTAGGAGCAAAGAGGGTATTTTGCCTCTGTATTTGGTGCTGGTGCAACCACAGCTGGGATGCCATGTCCGGTTATGACGACAGTTCAAGGAAGACGGTCGATTGAGCGAAACAAAGACAGTTACAGAGAACGCTGACGCCGTTGATAACTCCCTGCCTAGGAAGCTGAAATTGGATAATGAGCTTTTTAGTTCAGCAGACCAAGGTCTAACAAGGTCCAGTGGCTGGAAGCCAAAGTCAGGGACACTTATGCTAGAAATCAGAGAGGAATTAACCCTTGGAACGACTGACCTGGGGCGCCGGTGGATTCTCCATCACTAGACACTTTGCAGTCAAACCGGGACCCATTTCTCAAAGATCTGCTCTCGTTCAAGCTGGGCTGGATCCAGGGAAACTCTCCAGCCTGGGATGGGCCAGTCGGAGTAGCTCACAATTGTCCTTGCCTGTGTTTAGCTGGAGCTGGCTCCCTGGGACCGTGGTGTGAGCCAGGCACAATTCCCAGCTAAGATACTTACCTGCACGACACAGGATGAATAACACCCGCTGGGGCTGCAACTGAGGGTGTGGTTTGTCTGCTCTATTGCCTGGCGGGGGGCAGCCCCGTGTGCCCAGGGGTTTCCCTTGAGTGCAAGGTGCCGGCGGGCCTGATCCTGGCAGGGGCAGGGCAGAACAGTGAAGCAGGCTCAACACTAAGACACACCGAGACACGGCTGTCCTCCAGCTCCCCCTGCCCCGAGGCTGGGGGAGCCAGCAGTAGGGAGGGGCTGGTGTGGGAAACCTTCTTTTTGGGTGGGGGGGGGGGG